GATCCATTCAGGGTGAGGTTCATTGTGTCGATCTCCTCCATGGTGAATGATCCTGTTCCCGGTGCTCACCTTCTCCTTTTCCCACCACCTCCTAGGGACAGATGGGGAAGCAGAGGCAAATAGGGGCCATCARYATTCCCAGCACTTCCCATGTGCCCACACAGCCCCACRCCAGCYCCAGGAAGAACCCCCACCCCTSCAGTGCCCAGGACAGCCTCCCACCCCTCCAGCYCTGTCCCTGCACAGGAGRCATCTGCCACCAGCCCATCCCTGGACTCCTACCTSCAGCAGGAGCAGCACTGTCACAGGAGCYCCAGGAGAAAGGATCAGRGKATKGCTGCTGGGACCACTGGCTGTGCTTCAGCCTYGTCCCTTGTCCCTGGGGAAGAGCCCTTGGCTCAGAGATCACATCCCATGGTCAGAGCCTCCCCTCACAATCTCACCACATCGGTCACGGCTTCCCCTCACATGTCCCACRGGCASAGATCTTGTCAKGAGGACATGGCCACRTYGGCTCCTTCYTCTCCTCCCCCAGTTCTTCAYRAGGAGCTGCTGATCTGTTAAGATCCCCTTAATGCAGGCACTCAGACTTTGTAATTTTAAATGCCATTTGTGGATCTAAAACAAGGAAGAAGGAGAGGACAGCACAGATAAAATCATGTCCCTTCAGGTGCTGGGACTTCTGGGTCAAACCTTTCTCTGGTGAGGGCAGATCCTGTCCTTGGAAAGGGTACCCCACTATGGTCCTTTCATTTTTTTACAAGGTTTTCTGAACCCCTCAGAAATCCCAGACCACCCGCTCCCTGCCCCCTGGATGCCAACAGAGCCCCTCAGCAGCAGCCATAGGGCTGAGCACTGTCATTGTGTCCACTTGCTGTGGGAAATCACCAGTGCCCAGACACGGGACAGCACAAGGGCTTTGCTCACGGCCTCCRATCCCATCCCATCTAATCACAATCATCAGTAATCATCCCTGCCAGCCATGTGTCGTCTCAGAGATTACATTTTGTGGGGTACATGGAGCTGCCAGCGTGCTCTTATCTCCGAGTGCCTCCTGCCACACAACCTCAGCCTTTCACAGCACAGGGACTGGCATTTCACTGCTTATTTTCTCCCCCTMTTTCATGTGTTTTCCATCTCCTCTGGAGTTGTATCCTGTGCTTGTCATCCCTGAGAGTGATGTGCTCCAAAGGTATCCTTGTTCATGCACAAGGTCCATAGGCTCTCCAGGGTGTCCAGCCTGGAGCTGCARGATTTGGAGCTAGAGGAGGACTTGAAACCAGGAGAGAACACAAGCTCAAGATCCATCCATGAGATGGGGAGGGAAAAATGTGCAACACTGAGAAGTTTCTCCCAGAAGGAWGTTGAGAGAAAGTTTTGAGTACCAGTTACATGTCCCCAGAGGCACTGAGCAACTTGTGCTGTTGCAGGTCTGCACATCAGTGATTTCTCACTCCTGAAGGTCTCTGGCTCATCTCTCTCACCCCTCTGCCATCCTCCATTCCTGGGAATGGTTTATATCCCCTTCTGCATTGATGAATGGAGCACCCAGCACATATGGTGAAAGCCAGATCCCCCTCRCATGGTGGGATGACACTGGAGAGTGGCAGAGGAAGGGGGTGACGTGGCCATGTCCTCCTGACAAGATCTSTGCCCRTGGSACATGTGAGGGGAAGCCGTGACCGATGTGGTGAGATTGTGAGGGGAGGCTCTGACCATGGGATGTGATCTCTGAGCCAAGGGCTCTTCCCCAGGGACAAGGGAC